GTTAATATGAGGCATAAAACCACTATCTGGTCAATATGAGGCATAAAAACTGGTTAATATGGGACATAAAAACTGGTTAATATGAGGCATAAAAACTGGTTAATATGAGGCATAAAAACTGGTTAATATGGGACATAAAACTACTATCTGGTTAATATGAGGCATAAAACCACTATCTGGTTAATATGAGGCATAAAAACTGGTTAATATGGGACATAAAAACTGGTTAATATGAGGCATAAAATCTGGTTAATATGGGACATAAAACTACTATCTGGTTAATATGGGACATAAAACCACTGTCTGGTTAATATGAGGCATAAAACTACTATCTGGTTAATATGAGACATAAAACTACTATCTGGTTAATATGAGGCATAAAACCACTGTCTGGTTAATATTCCTATTAACCAGATAGTAGTTTTATGCCTCATATTAACCAGATAGTYGTTTTATGCCTCATATTAACCAGATAGTYGTTTTATGCCTCATATTAACCAGATAGTAGTTTTATGCCTCATTTTAACGAGCTAGTGGTTTTATACCTCATATTAACGAGCTAGTGGTTTTATGTCTCATATTAACCAGATAGTGGTTTTATGACTTCCCACTGAGGTGCCTTGACACAGCAGACAGTCCACTGGTCTTCATTTTGAACAGACAGTCACTCCACTGGTCTACATGTTGGACAAACAGTCACTCCACTGGTCTACATATTAGACAGTCATTCCACTGGACTACATGTTGGACATACTGACTGTCCATTGGTATACTTCTTGGACATACAGACATTTCACTGGTATACAAGATAGACAGACAAACAATGCACCTGTGAACAACTTTGTCAGACATTCCACTGGTCTACATGTTGGACAGACAGCCCACTAGTCTGCATGTTGAAAAGACAGTCCAATGGTATACGTATTGGACAGACAAACAGTCCACTGGTCTACATGTGGGGTAGACAGTTCACTGGTCTTATGTTGGACAGACAGACAGGCCACTGGTATGTATGTTGGATATACAGTCCACTGCTCTGCATGTTGGACAGACAGACCACTGGGCTACATGTTGGAGAGACAGTTTACTGGTCTTCATTTTGGACAGATAGACAGTCCACTGTTCTGTATGTTGGACATACAGTCCATTAGTCAACATGTTGGACAAACAGACAGTCCATTGGTCTACATGTTGGACAGACAGTCCACTGGTCTATATGTTGGACAGACAGTCCACTGGTCTACATGTTGGACAGACAGTCCACTGGTCTTTAGGCTAGATAGACAAACAGTCCACCTGTCTACATGTTTGACAGACAGGCCACTGGTCTACAAAGTGCAGCATGGAGATGACTGTGGACACAGATAAAGGACTTGTTGGACATGTACTCACCATAAATATGGAGTCCAGCTGGGTCTGATGCTGCTGGGCAGACTGAGGACTGGAGACCTCTGAGCTCTGCTGGTCCACTCTGTGGAGGACACATGAATAATTAGCTCCCTTTCTGTCTGTCCACACAGAGACAAAGACAAGCTAAAGGTCCATGTGGAGTCCTGGTCCAAAAAGGTTTTGTCCTCCTCCATCCAGCAAAAGCTCCAATTCAATTCAATTTATTTATATAGCGCTGTACTGTTACACAGAATGATGTTCATTTAAAAAGGCCTGTGTTTGTTCATTTTCTACCTCCTTGTGACAGGATATGAGTTAGGTTTTATTTTTCAAAAAAATCATTCAGACAGTCAGTCAAGCATGATCGTCTTACAGTGTGGTGAAGAGACAGTGTCTTCAGTGTTTTTGAGCCTTGGAGTATTTTTGTCTGTAAATTATCCTATGTTATGGTGTTGTCAATTATTTTGATAAGATCCAGAACCAAGTTTGCTATGTTAACTATTAAAAATGTTTCTGCTGTAATTTATCCATGTGCTGTTAGCTGCCTGCTAGATACTATGAAAGCTAATGCTGCTAAATGAGATGGCTAATACATTTCTGTGCATCTGCATGAATAGAAAAAACTAATATTTTTTGGGTGGAATGACAAGTTTCGTGTATTTTTCTTTAATTCATGTGTTTAGTTTCAATCCTAATAGGCAATGTAAGATGAAAAAGATATTGATATATATTTTCTTGTGTTTATTTTCCAGTTTTACATAAAATATGAAAACGTTTTCAATGTCTGAAGTCTTTTTTTGCTAGCTATCTGTCTAGCATAGACCCACATGCCTGTGTAAGGACAGAACAGTAAAAGAGCACTCACACAACGGGCTTGGACCATATCCAGTGTCAACTACACTACAGCAAAGACAAGAACATCATGGAGCAACAAAAAGAACCTAGGGTATTTAAAGAAATTGAGGTCAAGTCATAAGTTGCAAGCTCTAAGTCTTCTGGGAGCTCAAGTAGATCCTCGGTCAGTGCAGCAGCTACCAAGGCAAAAGCTAAAGCAGAGGCGGCCCTGATAGAAGTAAAGTATGCAGCTTAAGAAGCAGAAATTATGAAAGTGTAGGGGTCACCTCGAGTGAAGAAACAAGATTTACTGCCTCGAAGCAGGCCTCGGACAGGCCTGACAAGAGGACAGGAACTCTGTCACAAACTGAACTSTATTTAGGCCATGACAGGTCATTCTAACCGTGGAAGAGAACCCCTCAGTTCTCTTAACCAGATAATGGACAGAACAATCTCTTCTGTTCGTGATTCATTTGTTGTTTAACTAAGAATGCTTATGCATTTGTTAAATCATGATAATGACTGTCACAGGAAAATTGGAACCACTTCTTTTCTTTTATCGTGCCTTAAATATTTATAATGGTATAAAAAAAATCACAGAGAAACTGATTACAATGTTTTCAATGTGTTTTTATATAAATCACTCTTTTTATTTTACTGTAAACATAGTAATATAATTGTGGATTTTTCCTGAGAAAATCTTTCATTTATCTGGACTAAAAGAATGGTTCATAGCTGATATAAAACAGACATGTTATAGTTAATCATCATAAATGTTTTGCAGTGATTTCTCTTAGAGTCTATCAGAAGGAAGCTAAAGAGGGGTTCTCATGATGTTGTTGAACAACCACAGAATTTAACCTTGACTGGCGCCTGCCTGGAAAGTCTGTATCTTTCTTCTCTGACTCATCTCTAAGCCTGAGGGCGGAACCAAAGTTCATCCGTTCTTATTAATAATCCGGACGGCTTTGAGCACACTCTGACTTCCTAACTCAAACAAGGAAGCCGGCTGTGGTTCTCTTCAGAGAATATCAGCCATGGGGCTGTAAATCTAATCCCATGAGCCAATTAGGGTCGATTTTACAGCCAGGGAGCCGACAAGCCTGCTGGCGTCCCCCCCCCACCCCCACCCCCTCGAGGCTCCAAGCCTCCAAGCGTATGGTTTTACCTCCCGATGGGGAGATGATATTATTTTGAAGGAGAAACCGGATACAGCTTGAATTTTTCTAGCTTGGACTGAAGCAGACGCAAAATTACCTGAAAATAACACCTATTCGCCAATGAACGGTAAGCGGGCCGACAACAGTTCACTGACTGATTGGAGGTGAGTCAGTTTTTCTTCTTCGAGGGTGCCTTAAGAAGCCATCATCAGGTAAAAGGCTGACATGTTTGGGTGACATGTACTGCGGACCAGAGTCGAGAAAAGACGTGCAGATCCGGTTGACTCACACTTTGGTAAAAGTAAAGTAGTAGAAATACTAACATTACTTCCCTCCTTTTTCTTGTATCTTCATCTGCCAAACTTAAGCTAAAGTGCCAGTAAAATTATTTGGTTGTTTAATATCAGAACTGACGTTTTACTGTCTATTACAAGTAATCTGAGTTGATGTGAATTGAAATTCGGACGTGGGTTTTTTTCTCATTAATTCTGACGCTTTGTTATAGGAAACTAAATACCCACAATCAAGTTGTAACTGATGATTTGTTTAATTTGTGTAAATAAATGATTGCATAGTCATCTGAGCGTTCCACTTATTGTGTCATTTTCACTTCGCACAGTCAAGATATTAACAAATAGCCAGAAATTCCTTGGTAAATTTTTTCCTCATAACCTTGAGTATGAGAGATGTGGGAAAAGCTTATTTCATCCTAAACTCACTTCCTACAAAAGAAAAAGCCCGCATTGAAGTATAAAATCCAAAAAGGTTAGCAGAAGCAGAACAGTGCAAAGTGGAGTTGAAGGAAAATCTGTATGTCCTGAAACTACAAAGGAGTGCTACAGCTGCCTCAGTAGAAGCAGCAGTTTATGAAGCCACTGCAGTAATAGAGTTGGATCCCCTCGACAACATGCCCCAGATAGACCCTGATGATCATGCTCAACGCACAAGTGAGAATGTGCAGGCCAACTACATGACACTAAATGCTCAGCAGCAAGCTTAAGTCTCACAAGAAACACTCGCCATCCCAGCAAGCACAGAAAGAGCATGTCCAGACCCAATCCAATGGTATCCACTTTATAACCAAGAAAACTGCTTGCATAAGCCTTCAATTAAAGCTGAGGTAACGCCTGGCACACAAAACAAAGGCTACTCACCTTACGTTCCTGTCCCAATCTCTCACACATCCAGTCTCACAGATTACCTGTGTGAAGCAGTACAAGTAACTGATCTCACCAAATATCATGTCAGAAAAGAAATGTACTCTGGGCTGCTATAATTCTATTACCATCCAGAAAACTACTGGGCCTGGAAAACTTCATTTCAAGCTGTTACTGGAGAGTTCAACTTAACCACCCGAGAAGAACTTGATCTGCAAAGCAGCAGCATTTCCATGTCTCCAGCGGAGCATGGAACCCTATTGTATCTGTTCCGTTTATTATTATTTTTTTATTATTATTATTTTTCTTCCGTCAGTAAAACCCATACTGGAGCCCAAACCGCAAGGGCTATGAAGCAGATTTTAACAGGATAGTTGAATAGGGTTACGTGTACGGAGGAGAAAAATAATCAGACATGCCAACCTATATGGGGCGCCGTAATCAAGGTCTTAGCATTAGGACTTCTGGCTTCTAAACCATAAGTCACAAATTTTTTTGGCTTATAGCATCATAATCCCTGGACACCACTGAGTCACAAGATGTAGGCCACCCCCATTTCCGCCTAAACTTTTTTTTCTACAGCGCAAAATTTGCAAAAACTACTTTTGGATTTGTTTTAAAGATTTAAAGTCCGATCAGCACGAAACTTAACATCCTATATCTATTTAGGATGATGATTCTAGGTCTTGAAGGACAAGTAGAAAAATGGTAAAATTTATGAGTTATACCTAGGCAAATAGCTTAGGCAAGCTAGCTAAACAGAAATTTTGCCATATCTTCAAAATAGTAGTATAAAATAAGATGAAAATCTTACAGGTTACAAGAGTCACGTCTAAGTTGGTGGACCACATTTTACAATCATTGTGGCATAGGAGGCGCTAGAAATCACAAAAGATTTTCACGCAAAAATGGCTTATCGGATATTCATGAAACTTTGCATGGACCTACAGACTCTTGACTTGAACCTAAATGAGAAAGGTCCTTATGCACAAATAAAGTGGGCGTGGCCTATACTTTCGTAAATGAAAATTTTCATAAAATCATTTATGGAACCTAAACTATCAAAAATTTTGAGAAATTTTTCACAGCAAAAATAAAGCACACTAACTTCTATATAATACTAAAAAAACTGCATGAGTCCACCAATAGGTGGCGCTATTATGGTGTGTGAAACATTTTGATCTGTAACTGTATC